CAGATGAGTAGATTGGAAGGCAGAATAGAAAAAGAAGATGAACTAGAGCATAATAGAGAGACTTTAAGGCAGAAGACGACAATAAATGCTTAGCTTTACTAATCGGGAATAAAGCTTTAGATATCTTGTTTCTAGTTTGCTTAATATGATATTCAAAATTTAGATTTTCATCAAGAAAAACGCCAAGCATTTTAAAAGCCGGAACCCTTGTACTGTTATTAGTCCTCTCAATAGGGGAAATGAATCTGGGATCGGGAAAAGAATTCAAATCATTGCAATTAAAAATAAACAGAAAGTCGTCAACTTTTTTTTGCTTAGGATGGAAGACTATAATTTTTGTCTTGGTAGTATTAATTGCAATTTTATTGGCTTTTAGCCACATTCCCAGTTTCTGAAGCTAAAGGTTTACAAAGTTTCCAAGTTCAAAAATGCTTGTATACCTTTTTTTTAAAGCAGTTGTATCGTCAGCTAAAAGAAAGTTCAGCAGGGCATTGCTTTTAAACATATCATTTATAAATATCAAGAATAGTAGTGGTCCTAAAATGGATCCCTGGGGAAAAGAAATATTCAAGGTGGTAAAAAAACTGGATAAAACATCATTAACCAGAACATTTTGCCTTCTATCTTTAAGCTAGTTTTCAAACCACTTTGAATGAAAAAAAAATTATTAAAGTCAAAAATCTAGTTTTCAATTTTATGTCGTAAATATTTTTCAAGTCTATCTTAAAATATGTTTTAAAAGATATAATGTAGAAGAAAAAAATCTATGTAAATTTAAAAACACAAATTTTGCTAAACAATTACATTTTCCCCACAAAAAAAAAGATAATTAATGATTTGCTCTACTTTACTTTTATAATTAGATTTATCGAAAGCTGGTATGATGATTAATAAGTAATGGTAAAACTGTTTTAAAAAAGTAAAGATCAAGGCAAACCAAAATTCCCCCCCCCCCCATTGCCATACCCATTGATGGCAAATTGGGAAGATAGGAGGGGAGGGGGGAGGGGTTCTCTTGATGCATTTCCTGGGTAAAATATTCCATAAAAGGAATTTCATAAAGATAAAACTTGAAATATGTCAAGATTCAAATCTTAAAAATATCTTTTGTATTTTATTCTGGAGTAGATACAGTGAAACCCTTAATAAAGAATACATCGAACGAATTCATCAAATGTCGTATTCTTCACTTTCTGATAATGGAATGTTGCAGATATTTAGTTTTTTTAATTAAATGATTATATGAAACTCTTTAAAACTGTTCCCGCATATTCATGGCATATTTATTTATTTTCGCAAATACTGAAATTTACGTAAAAAACTCATTGAAAAATTGTCACGACGACATTTGATAAATTCTTCTGACTTATTCGTTATTAAGGATTTTACTGTATTTTTCTGTCGACAGCAAAAGGCTAAAATATTTAAACTTGTAAAAAATTATTGTGTTTAGTAGAAAATATCTAGTTTATGAGCATCATTTTAATTATTAGTCATATATAACGTTCAGTTTAGGATGTCTAAGTAAATTTTTCATGAATTATTTAACTACATATTGCTTAAAATATCTTTATTTTTAATTTTTAAATTTTTCTTTTTTTTATTTGTCAAACCTCAATGCTTTTTTTAAAAAAGGGTTAAAACTACAGATCAATAAATTTCGAAAAACAAAAATGTTAGGTTGAATAAAAACGAAGGAAAGTTCTATTAAGTAAATTGAATTTTTAAACAGTTTGAATTTTTAAATTTTTTCTAATGCGAGATGTCTTAAATCACTATCAATCAACGATTCAACAATAAAGGATTTTTAAAAAAATATTTTTTTTTTATTTTGAAAGAATTGGCATTTCCAAAAATGATCATTTTGTTTTATTGTTTTTCTCTGTCCTCATTTTGGTTTTCAGAAGAGAGCGGATGTAGACTAGGCATACTAAAAGGATTTTTTTTTTCAAAATTAGCAGAAATATGATTGAAAGATGTGCGAATAGGAATAAAATGATGACCAAGAAATATAGAAATCTTAAACAAGAAATATAGAAATATCAAAACATTTTCATCTGATATCACATAAATATTTAAAAATATTGTAGAACTTAATTAAAATAAATTATTAAAGTTAAAAACTTTTGTTTTCAGAAAAGTTCAAACACCCTTCAAGGCCTTCTACTACATCTCCTACTTTTGTGTAGTTATGGACATTGACATTTTGAAACCACTAATTTTAGTTTAAATGAGTACTTTAGCATGTAACATTTTTGATGGGATTTATTACATTATTTTGTTTGAAATTTGTGTTGAAATTTTCCTTAATTTGTGATTAAAGAATAAAAGAATGTTTTTTATTTCACAATTTCGAGTGTTGTAATTTAGTTTCTAAATCAAAGTGAAATAAAATAAATTGTTATATCTGTAGATTATTTAAGAGAAGTAGATTTCATTACATTCCTCTACTATATTTGATTGAAGTGGTTTATTTATTTAAATTAAATTGGCCAAATCTAAAACTTTAGATTTCCTAACCACATATTTTATCGTTTAAATAAATTATTTGAAGGGTGTGATGTGACTGTTGTAAAATTTTCTCCTACAAAATAATTTTTTTTGATTAAATTTAATGTTTAAAGGGAAAACAGAATAAAAAGTAAATGATTTAAACATCTTATACAAATGTATTTATCTAAAATCTACTTTATATCTCCCATACCTTCTTCTCCTAACACCCCCATCCCACACTTTACTTACAGGCAGAAGCCCAAAGCAGTTACGCGCACATGCAGCTTTTAATTACGAGACAGAGAAATCCTGTTCAAGCTGCGGCGCTCACCCCGCTAGGCTATCCTAGCAGCAGCGCTCGGCCCAGAAATTGTCTTAAACATCCCTAACCCTAAATTAAATAATTATATCTCTCTTTCTTGTAATTCAATGCTGCAAGTGCTCGTAACTCCTTTAGTCAACTGTCTTACTTACGTGCCTCACCCTCCTTCGACTCAATTGTTAATTCCAGTCGCATTTCTTTCCCATTAGTATTCCTGTCCTAATAACCATAAATCTAGTGTCTCAGCTCTTCAATAGTCAACATATAGGTGCATGATGATTCAAACTTTACAGGACCAAGTTTAATTAACAATGAACCATTTAAGTCCCTTTTTGACAATTTAACACTAGCACTATTGGGGGGGGGGGGGGGGTTTTCAACCCCCTGTTTATTTCTCTCCCTAACTTAAACACCACATTCAATAAACTTCTAAACTTTTTCAACTTGGTATTTTTAGTAAAGTTTGGAATAGGGTGGGTAGATGACAGTCAAACGACTGATCGTTATTATAACAAAATCAAAAATAGTCAATAATTTTAAATAATTAAGCTACAGATCACCCTTTTTCATGGTTTTAATGGATTAAGTTTATATTTATATGAAAGTGTTTTTTTTAATTGCTTTTAAAAAGAAGTTGATTAAAACTTCGCACAATATTTTTTTCCTTTCTTTCATGATTTTAATAGAATAATTGTTTATTTCTTTTTTTCCTTGTTTAATAAAATAATTGTTTATTCCTTTTTTTCATGATTTTAATAGAATAATTGTATCTTTAAATATATATATATATATATATATACGAATGTCTTGCTTTATTATATAGATATCTAAATATGTTATTTTATTTATTAGCTCTTCAAAAAGAGATATTATGAATGAAAACATTTAAGATTTTAATCTCATGAATGAAAGAAATGAATAAATTTGGAATCAATACAGATAACTTCATGTTCAGATTGACATTGATAGTAAAGTATTTCTCAAAACTGAATATAGCTCTTTTGCTTTACCATAACGAGAGGGAACGAGTATTGATACCCATAAAGTTGTATCCGGATTGACATTGATAGTGATATTCGTGGAACCGTGAGTTCCTTATTGGGTTGTACCTGGATTGATACAAGTCTGAACGACTTTTATGGAGTTGGGCATATTTACTACTTGCCAGTTACTTTTGATTGACAAGAAGCAAAAGGTTAAGATATATTTAGAAGAGCATAATAATTGATTCAATTCTGTAACTATTCAAATTCAGTTTCAAAACAAGTAATATTTCCCAAAAAAATTATCAGTTTTCAAGAATAATTAATTTCCAATTTTCCTATTCCAATTTCAAGTGTTTAAATATTAAACCATTCAATCCATAACTTTCTGAATTTTAAATTTAAGCTAAAATTAAACCCTCATCTTTAAACTTTAAATAATCAGTTCAGAATCTAATTTTATTTCCATCTTCAACAGTTGAATAAAGATTAAAGTAACCACAGTTTACTCCTTGGACCCATTAAATAATTTGGTATGAATGTATGCTCCTAGATTTATTATTTTTATAGATCTATCATATGATTAGCCTACAGCTAAAAACTAAAGCTAACTACAAGTGGTGTATAGTGTTAAAATGTACTTGCAAAGGGCTACAGAAAAGCATAAGTGAGTTAGAGTGGTAAAATCAAACAAACAAGGAATTGCGACACTTTAAAGTCGACACTGCCTTAGAAATTGATGAGACTTTTTATAAGTAGGCTGAATCTATATGCTTCTTGAAGCATTATGTTTCCTGCAAAATTTTCTAATATTTTAAAGTTTATGAAAAAATTTCTTCATTCATTTTCAAATACAGAAGAGTACGTTTAATTTAGTAAGGCAATAATTAATATTATGCAGTGAACATCCATCTAATTATTAAAAATTCGTATTCGCTTATAATGGGCTAACCAATCAAAACAACCAACTCTAGTTAGGCGGGTCCAAACTACATCGTAAATTGTGATTTTTTATTTGTATTATCTCGTGGTTTGTAGTTGAATAAAAATATGAAGAATGAAATATATTATAAAAGGAACATTAAAGTTTACTTTTATAATTTAATTATTTTCATTTTGTTGGATTCAAATAGTTTCCATTAATTTTAATGACACACTCAAGGGAAATGTACAGTTCAAGAATATTGAAAAATATTGTACAGATCTTGAAAGTACAGATCTTGAAAGTACAGATCTTGAAAGTACAGATCATGAAAGTACAGATCTTGAAAGTACAGATCATGAAAGTACAGATCTTGAAAGTACAGACCTTAAAAGTACAGATCTTGAAAGTACAGATCATGAAAGTACAGATCTTGAACGTACAGATCATGAAAGTACAGATCTTGAAATTACAGACCTTAAAAGTACAGATCTTGAAAGTACAGATCTTAAAAGTACAGACCTTAAAAGTACAGATCTTGAAAGTACAGATCATGAAAGTACAGATCTTGAAAGTACAGATCATGAAAGTACAGATCTTGAAAGTACAGATCATGAAAGTACAGATCTATAAAGTACAGACCTTAAAAGTACAGATCTTGAAAGTACATATCTTGAAAGTACAGATCTTGAAAGTACAGATCATGAAAGTACAGATCTTGAAAGTACAGATCATGAAAGTACAGATCTTGAGAGTACAGATCTTGAAAGAACAGATCTTGCAAGTACATATATTGAAAGTATAGATATTGAAAGTACAGATCTTAAAAGTACAGAGCATAAAAATACAGATCTTGAAAAGTAATCAAAACGGAGTATTATTCCAACTGACGTATAATTTAAATTCTTTAATACAGGTTAAGTTAATGAATGTTTCATATCTTTATCTACAATCGTAGTTAGATTTATCACAATACAAGTGTTACATAGTTATTTACAAGCACAGTTAGGTTACAAAGTACAACGTAATTTATCTCGGTGTGTTCAGGTTTATATATATGTGATTTGCTACGGTATGTATTACAAAAATTACATACCTTGAAAGTATAGATCTTGAAAGTAGAGGTCTTGAAGGTACAGAGCTTGAAAGTACATATCTTTAAAGTACAGATGTTGTTAGTACAGATCTTGATAGTAAAAATTTTGCAAGCACAAATATTGAAAGTGCAGATCTTGAAAGTACAGATCTTGAAAGTAGAGACATTGAAAGTACAGGTCTTTAAAGTATAAATCTTTAAAGTACAGAACTTGAAAGTATATATTTTGAAAGTACAAATATTGAAAGTGCAGATCTTGAAAGTATAGATCTTTAAAGTATAAATCTTTAAAGTACAGAACTTGAAAGTATATATTTTGAAAGTACAGATCTTGAAAGTACGGATCTTGAAAGTACAGAACTTTAAAGTATAAATCTTTAAAGTATAAATCTTTAAAGTACAGAACTTGAAAGTATATATTTTGAAAGTACAGATCTTGAAAGTACGGATCTTGAAAGTACAGAACTTGAAAGTATAGATCTTGAAAGTATAGATCTTAAAAGTACGGATCTTGAAAGTATAGATCTTGAAAGTATAGATCTTAAAAGTATAGATCTTGAAAGTACGGATCTTGAAAGTATAGATCTTGAAAGTATAGATCTTGAAAGTACGGATCTTGAAAGTACGGATCTTGAAAGTACAGAACTTGAAAGTATAGATCTTGAAAGTACGGATCTTGAAAGTATAGATCTTGAAAGTATAGATCTTGAAAGTACGGATCTTGAAAGTATAGATCTTAAAAGTACAGATTATGAAAGTACAGATATTAAAACTAATAATGCAGAATAGATCTTGAAAGTATAGATCTTGAAAGTACGGATCTTGAAAGTATAGATCTTGAAAGTACGGATCTTAAAAGTACGGATCTTGAAAGTATAGATCTTGAAAGTACGGATCTTGAAAGTACAGATCTTAAAAAGAATAAAATAAAAGAATGTACCAATTATTTAACAAAAAAATATCATATCATGTAATCATACACAGGAAAACATAGGATAACAAATTGCTGAAGTGTGCTTAATCCTAAACAGGCGGGGGGAGGGGGGGAAGAGGGTCTAGTTTTTTTGCCTTTGTACTCTCATTTTTGACACTATCACCTTGAAATCTTACCACTTTTTAAGAATAATAATATAAAGGATTTTTTATAATACAATTTGTTTTTAATTGATAGGACAGGGTACAAGACGGTAAAAAGGTCGGTCCGTGTAAAAATAAATCTGAAATAGCCCATACTGCATTTTTGTGATAATGGTTCTTTCCTAAAGGATTTTTCCCAAGTGGCAACTTTCCACATGTGTGATTTTCCTAGCGACAACTTTCCAAGGTTGTCCTAGCCGCAGGGCTTGGCCATTGTTCTAACCGCATTGATCGGCCCCCTAGCTCATCCTAGCCGCAGCCCTCGGCCCCCATTGCAGCCTTCGGTGCCTCAGAGGGTCTAGCATAACCTTTGGGAATTTGCTGCTTGGGAGACTTTACACTTGTGAAGTTGTCAGTTGGAAAATTTCACTTGGGAAGTCGCCCTTGGGGAAATGCCTTTGGGAAAGTACCTTACACCATTTTTGTTATTAAAGCTAAAGATATAAAGCAACATTTTTGATAAACCCTTGACAAACGGTTGTACAGTACACACATGTGTCACATCATTCACATCTCAATATTTGTCAACAACAAAAGAATTTATTTTTACATTTTTACACCTTTTTTAAGAAATTTTCAAACCCAAACTATTAAGAAATCGGTCTAATATTTTTTTTCAATTAGTTGGCCTTTAAGAGATTGGCTATGAACACTGAACAGGCATTGCAACCCTATGCATTTACGATAAGGTTTTATTAGGAGCGGGGGGGAGGCGTTCCCCTCGAAAAAGTCAAAACATTGATTCAGACCACCCAGCCTTTTTAGGGTTAAAAACATATTTTTACAATTTTACATTTTCATATACATTTTCAAATACATCAAGAATAAAGTTGTAACTGCCCTAACAATTTGATTTTTCCACTTTTAAAGCTTTTTTAATTTAAAGCAAAAGTGTCAAAGGACAAGTTTAAATGAATTTAAAGAAGCAGTTTTAAGTTTTTTTTTTAAAAATTTGTAAACATTTACAAGAGATGTGACTGAGATGTCCATTTTAATCAAAATCTATAACATGTTTATAAAGTATTTTTTTCTTTTTTATAGGTGGTAATAGTTCATAAAATGTTTAATTAACAATTAATGTTTTCATAATAGTTTTCACCTTTGATTGTCAAATTGATTGTTTCTATGAATGGTATAAGTTGTTATACTTTTATTTAATGAATTAAAACATTAATATTTAATAAAGCTGGAGGGCCCAGCGTTAACCGTGGTAAAAAAAATTGTCTACATTAAAAATGTTAAAATATGATCAAATATAAGTGTATCTTGAGACAGGGGATAATAATCTCTATATTCTTCGCCTTTTGTTGGACATCTTTCAGTAAGGGGGGAAGGGTGGGTGGGCCTGGGAAGGGTGAAGAGTTGTTGAGAAGATTATGGGAACATTGATAATTTCATTTATAATTTATCCTAAACATCATTTCTTCAACATGTTTCTGCCCTAGAAATACATAGAAAACCGACATTGTTCAACAGTATATATGGTCTTGGACAAAACTACATTTGTCTCAAGTTTCATATAAACTTCTAAGAAAAACTTCACACTCTTTATTTTATTTAAGAATTTTGAAAGCTTTGTTTAAANAAGTCGTATCTTGCAATTTATTTATTTTGTATGGCCGCTAAGTTATTCGGTATGAGACGTCTTTAACAATTTTCTCCTTATAGACGCAACAGATAAAAGTAAGATTAGTAGCGATCAAAATCGCTTTTTTATTGCATTAAGCCTATACCCCCTTTCTTTTTTTTGCGAACACTCCCTTTAAATTTAAAAGCTTTGCAATAAAATAATGCATTTCATCTAATGTACCTCTTAAAGCTTCTATCAAAATTGTAAATAATTTGTTTTACCAAAATTGAAGAAAACAGTAACTACAATTGTGTAAATTTTGTTCTAAGACTCGAATTTGTGAGCAAAAATATATGATGTATTTTCACCTTCCATAAATAGATATATTGGTTGATAAAAGGAAAATGAAAAATATATGATGTATTTTCACCTTCCATAAATAGATATATTGGTTGATAAAAGGAAAATGAAAAATATATGATGTATTTTCACCTTCCATAAATAGATATATTGGTTGATAAAAGGAAAATGAAAAATATATGATGTATTTTCACCTTCCATAAATAGATATATTGGTTGATAAAAGGAAAATGAAAAATATATGATGTATTTTCACCTTCCATAAATAGATATATTGGTTGATAAAAGGAAAATGAAAAATATATGATGTATTTTCACCTTCCATAAATAGATATATTGGTTGATAAAAGGAAAATATATGATGTATTTTCACCTTCCATAAATAGATATATTGGTTGATAAAAGGAAAATGAAAAACATTATCTTTTATAAATCTTTCGAGATCTAAAGGAACTGACTAGTTCGTCGAACAATCTTTAAAAATCTTAATTCTAATTTTTGACAAATATTGACATGTGTGCTGCAGTGATACAAGTTTTAGAACTGTAGCTCCAATATTGACATGTGTGCTGCAGTGATACAAGTTTTAGAACTGTAGCTCCAATAATTAAAAGTAATAAACAACTTTTTGCGTAAGGCTCTTGTTCTAGAACGAGGAAGGATTAAAATTGTTAATGTTTTTTATTGTTAATGATTATCCCCGTTAACGAAGGGTTAAAACACGGATCAAAAAATGCAGCTAAAGGCTTGAGTTCTGGAAAGGGGAAGGAACAATTCAAAAGAAATTAGGAACACACTCAGCCTTAGAAATGGGTTAAAAAGATTTATACTAAGTATATAGATTTTAAAAAAATCAAATTTAATATGTGTTAATTTGACTAATTCGTTCTTGTGGGAATTCCTCCATTCTAAGTTAGAAAAGACAAAAACCAGATACATATAGTAAATGTGCAAATTTCTTTTGACGGGTTGTATGCAAAATTTCTTTGCAAAACTTGTGCAATCCTATTCCTTATGTCAAAGGCTTTAGAAAAGCTTAAAATTATTAAAATCTGAGGACTGAATGTACGTCAAAACAAAGGTTTAGTTTGTAACAGGAAAAAGTAGTCATTCAGGCAGTGTGCCTGAGGACTCAGGCATTTAGTATAAAAGCACGGTTTTAGACCTAAAGGAAGGACTTGGTAGGAATAGGATATATTTCAGTAAACTTATTTATTTATCACGTTTAAAATAAGAATATCAGGACTCGTTTCAGATTAAGATGGAAAAGATTGAAATGGAATGGTTGGAAATCATCCTATAGTGTATATTTTTAGCTGCATAAATGATTTTTTATGCAATGGGAGAAAAGTCATATTTTACAATAAAACCATAACAAATTTATATATTGATATAAAAAATTAGAAAGTTATAAAAGTTTAAATATTTGATTACTTCTATACTTTCTTGTTCTTAATACCCTTTAATATTGGATTAAAGATTTTAGAAAATATAACATTTATATTATTTCAAGGATATTGTGCAGAATAAAACAAGAAAAATGCAATTTTCATAGTAAAATGTCCAATTTTTTAAGTAGATTTTCGTTTTCCTTATCTTGATGAGTAATAGCTTGGACTAGAATGCTTTAACTGTTTTAATTAATGAACAATTAAGTAATAAGTACTTATGAATTCACGATATAAGACGTTCAGAGTGTTTTTATCCACTTTTTTAGTAAATATCTTAAATATTTCCCAGGCCAAAACATCTTCTGTAACCATCCCTGAACCATTATTGGGTTTGTGAGTTGTTTAAAAAAGTTGTTACCGATTGGTTAAGTCTTTTTGATTTTAAAAGATTAGTAATACAAATAGTAGATAAGCCCCCACCTCTCTTCCCCCTTACATATTTTAGGATTGTGATCTCCAATAGTCTTTCTTCTAATATCAAATGAATATTTAATATGTATTTTTCTAATTGAATTTTCTAAAAAAAAATTGTGGATAAATCGACTTTCTTGCATGCAAACAAGCAAATATAGATTTTTCATCGAATAGTCCACCATAGATAACGGTAAACTTCTAATTATTGAGATTGGTGTATCGAATAGTCCACCATAGATTAGATAGCGGTAAACTTCTAATTAGTTAGATTGGTGTATCGAATAGTCCACCCTAGATATACTGATAAACTTCTAATTATTTAGATTGGTGTATCGAATAGTCCACCCTAGATATACTGATAAACTTCTAATTATTTAGATTGGTGTATCGAATAGTCCACCCTTGATATACTGATAAACTTCTAATTATTTAGATTGGTGTATCGAATAGTCCACCCTAGATATACTGATAAACTTCTAATTATTTAGATTGATGTAACGAATAGTCCACCCTGGATACTGATAAACTTCTAATTATTGAGATTGGTGTAACGAATAGTCCACCCTAGATATACTGATAAACTTCTAATTATTGAGATTAGTGTATCGAATAGTCCACCCTGGACACAGATAACTTCTAATTAGTTAGATTGGTGTATCGAATAGTCCACCCTAGATATACTGATAAACTTCTAATTATTTAGATTGGTGTATCGAATATTCCACCCTGGACACAGATAACTTCTAATTATTTAGATTGGTGTATCGAATAGTCCACCCTAGATACTGATAAACTTCTAATTATTTAGATTGGTGTATCGAAAAGTCCACCCTAGATATACTGATAAACTTCTAATT